TGGAGCATTTTAAAGTGCTTGTACTGGAGTGCTTCCCTTCTTAGCAACTCTGCCATCACCACAAACATCTGCCTTGGTATTTATATTTTGTGCAACTGTAATGATCTTTAGAAGTTTAATCAATCAATCACTTTTGATATCTGGAATTACAGGTATTTAATGACACTGCAGTTTTCAACTATACTATATTATTTTTAAGTACTCTTTTTTAGAGGCTTCATATCCTGTCTAATTGTACACACACAATTTCTAGTTAGAAATATTTTAAGACACGTAAAAAGGCTGAAGGATAATCAGGTTTAACACTTTCAATTACATCATAGTTTGGACAAATCAAAGAGAAGCTTGCCAAGCAACCTGGCTCCACCTACCATGACCATTCACGTTGGTGTCATTCCACCTATTTTATCTCTAGTCTGCACAGCCCAGGATTCCAAAGCACCCTTACCTTGTGTCCTCATCCAGAAGATTCAAAGTAGAATTTACTTCAAAGTGTCATTTTCACCACTTAAAAATTACTTTCTTTTTAACATAAAGTCAGTATGATTTTACTGAAAATACTTGAATGGTGAATTTAAAATACAAAGAGGAAAACAAGCACAGGCAAACAAAACAGATCAGGGGAAATAAGGACATAGGAAAACAGTCCTGATATGAGACTAAACAAGAAGGAAAGGAAGGAAAAGTCTTTTGTCTTTGATGAAGTATTTGGAAAGGAGAGAGAAATTCTTCAGGAAAATAAATTTCCATAATTGCTCTGCTCACTTAGCAGTGTGATTCATGCTGCCAGACCTTGAAATGTGCAAAAATCAAAAGTGCTGGCTAAAACCTTAGGTTTTGGTTTTAGTCCTTAGGTCACTAATTTTTTGTCCTGGCTTCTTTCGAAAACAAGCTGCCTCTTGGGGAGATGGGGGTTCAGGTCTCAGATTCAGAGGACTGAACTCATCACTGTTGAATACCCATATGGAGAAGGCAAGATGGGTTGGAGTTTGGAGAAAAGAGCTTAAGGCAGAAACTTAGGAATGTACAGTTAATGCAGTGAGACAGGAGAGAAATCTAACCTAAATATAACCTAAATATAACCTGAATCTCCTTTGAGCATGAAGAAAGCTACTGCATCTTGAAGCTTTTATAGGTATCTACTATCTTACTAACAGACAGCAAGAAATAGAAGGGTACTGAAAGTCTTCTTGCTGCCATTCAGAATTTTTAAAAGCAACTTTATAATTCCTGGTTTTCCACCTAATCCTTTGCTGATTAAATAATTTCTAGTGATCCAGCTACAGGCCTGGTTTTCATCACACTATTCCTATATATTAGGCTTTTTTTTAATTAGAAAAAAAAAAAAAAAAAGAAGGTATGATTTGAAATGTCAAACACTGCTGTTCCTTATTACTAAGCTTAAAACCTTTGGGGATATTTTTCCCAACTGTAGTTTAACGCCTAAGCACAAATAAGGTCTGTTTCCAGATATGCTGTGGACTTGGTAATACAGGGAGGGTCATCTGCTGACATGGTGTTATCCTGCCAAGCAGAAAAGGCATGATGAGGCTACTATTGCACAATAGCTCTCAAAATAAATGTTGAAATTACTTTTGTATCTATTCATAGTGATACATACTGTCTTGCTGCCCACCTTCCTCCAAGAAAGCTATTTTTAAAAAGGTGATTTATGCAGTTCACAAATATTTTTCTAGCTACTCTTCAATTTTCTATTAATGATTGAGATAGGATGAAGCGATCTGTACCAGCAGAGAAATAACTGAACATGTCATTATTCGTGTCCTGAACACGAGACTGGATGGAATAACAGCTGTCACTAAAGTACTGAACAGCAGTAGAAAGCTTTAGCCCAGGTTGTGGAGACAAATACACATTAAGCTCCTGTTCCAATCAGGCAAAAGAAGCAGAACAAGTGTGAATATTGTTCCAAGAAGCACAAAAACTTCTGACAAGTTCAGCTGTGATTTCCAGTGGAAAGAATTAGGCCATATCTTAGGAAAATAAACGTTCTCAAAGGGATGAGCCAGTAGGTTTTACCACACTCTTTTGGATTCACTGCCTTTAACTCTACAGAAGACTACATGAAAGGTGAGAATAAATGAGAATTTATTTAAAATAGTCAGTTCATATTTCCTGGCCCTCCTTTTGCAAAGTTAACAACCATTGCAAACAGGCACGTGTTGCTGTATTAACAACTCTTTCTTTTAATAAATCCAAACAGAAACTTGGAATTAACAAGCCTTGGCACTAAGAACATGATGACAGCCCACCACCTACATGGGAATGGAATTTTGTGCTGTTCTGGAAAGTGAGGTATGCTATGAAAACACAAACATTTTCTAATTTGTGTCCTTTGAGACACAAGACAGTTCTACCATTGTGCTGTATCCCCAGATAGATACACCAACTGGCAACTGAGGCATACATGGGGAAAAAACCCAAACAACAACCCCCAAAACACAAAGAAAAAAAAAATCAGTGGTCAGAAATAGGAGATGGGAAAAGCAGCCTTTTACAAAATGTTCAAGTACTTGCTTTAAAAACATCTACCTGACAACTTATCTGCACATTCCTTAACTAAGGAATTCCAGGCCACCACACCACCCCTGCCACACCAAAGAAAAGGGAGACACAAAAAGAGAACCTACACAAGGCCATTAGACAAGCTCTTCCTGATAGTTCTTACAGTCTTGTAAAAGACAAAGTTCTGCTACAACAGAAAAGAAGGAAGACAACTTTTCTTTTTGCCCATGAGCTTGCACGATCCTCTTCAGGGAAACAGGATGTAAGCCTATGAGCTTCTCGTGACAAGATTTGCCAAGTTTTATAACCATGCACTTTCTTCAGTCTCTCCCTTCTTCAGGCCAGTTGAAGCATCAGGCACTGAGTTTTCATTCCTTATCTCTCTTCCTCTCCCCCTCCTTCTGCTGATCTTCATATCCTTATGTGCACTATGACTGGAAAGGGCATCTGGTAAACACGAGCTTACTGACTCATACTTCTTACAAGGCACCAAAAAGCAAGAAAAACGGAACCTCCAAATATTTACTGGAAGTCAGGAGGAGAAAATAAGGCAGAAGAGCAGCAAAAATCACAGAAAATACACAGCAAAAAGGCTAATGGACTGTTGGAAAAGAAGGATGAGATGGTAGACAAAGAGTAAATCTGAGGTATAAATATTGGAATGCATACGGGAGCTAATAAGGAATGACAGAAATTCAAAATATAAAGGTAAAGGATTTTTGACTGCTAGCACAACAATCTAGTCCTGGTTAAACTTCAAACTCTTCAGTTCTCTGCTCACAGAAAGCACAAAGTAGATTTAGGAATTTACATGACATCCATCTGTACATATTAACCCCCTATATAACATGTGGTTAACAATATTAAATTAAACAGTATGTGTTTGAAAGAAATGCTAAATTCTCATATGAAAGTTTTATTATTCCTTTCTATACACAATGAGAGGACTTTTAAAAACTTTCCCTGCAAAATATGACAAGAGAAAAAGATGGTCCTCAGTTTTCCATATATTTACATTCCCATTCCATCTTCATGGCTTCCCTCTATAAACCTGATGTTTACAATTACTTTTCAGATTTGTCCTCATTGTTTTCCTCAGCCTAAAGCTGTGACACAACACTCCAATCCCAATTTGCCATAGAAAAGCCAGGTGCCCAGAAGACAGGTTAATTACCTAAGAACTAATTGAAAGCCTCACTCTGTCATTTTCTGAACTGTGCATTTACAACAACCTTTGGTAGAACTGATTAAAAACTGCCTCAAATTAGTTATCACACACACTATACTTACAGAACAAACATACCACACCACAGGGTGTGACCTGCCGCATTTATGGTACCTCACACCACATTTTATGTCCTCAGAAAAGGGGAAAAATAGTTAAGCCTGTCCATATTCAAAACACTGCCTGCAATCTGATCAGAGCAATCATAATGAATCTTAACTTAATAAGACAAGCAAAACCTCAGGACTGTAATGAAGTTAAGTAGCACCTATAATACCATGTTAAACACAATTTTTCTTTTATCTAAACTACTATAAAAACTGAAAATCTTCCTTTTGGAATAATATTCTTTTTGGAAAGATACAATTAAATCATCCTAGTAGGAGATGGCATTGAGCTCATCAATACTGCTTTCTGTGACATAATTTAGTGTTCTTCACTATTGTTTTTCTGGTTTCCATCCATTTTTACTGTCTGATTGAGAGAAGAATGGATGACAACACATATTCTGAGGCCATTTGGTTGCTTGAGAGTAAAATTAAGGTTCACAGGTTGAGAAAGATTATTAATTGTGCCCTTATCCATAGCTGCTACAAGTTTATGATTCAAAGTCACTTCACAAACCAATGGAATGACTAAAACTAAACACTAAAAGTGTTAGGATTTAATGGCAGACAAGATCAGTGCTGAGGTACCCAGGTAACAGTGATGCAATGTTGTAATGAACAAGTAAATATTTGATGAGGATTGTGTTAGAGCATCTCCTTGAAAGATTTGGAGTAACAGATAACAACAGAACTATATGAACTTCTTGGTCACAGCAGCTTTATTACAAACCTCCCTGGTCTTCTCTGGAGTTTGTACAGTGTCCAAGAGGACTGGAGTGGGGAATCTTTTTATATGAAGGTTTTTGTGGTTATAAAGGGGCCATGCTCACTTCTGCCTCCAGTAATTTAAAGGTACTACATAGTGGGATCGGACTAGATGACTTCTAAAGGTTCCTTCCAACCCAAACAATTCCATGATTCTCTAATATTGGAGATAACTTACCACAGGCAGGCTGCACAAAAAGGTTCTCTGAATGTCTGATTAGGGGGTAAAAGCACAGTTAGTCATTCTTCCACTTGAAAGAAATTAATATTTACCATGCAGCTTTCTTGGTACATGATTAGAATTAATTTAGAACAGAAAATACCTCCATTTATAATTTAGAAAAATATTTTTTTTTTCAAAGCAGACCTAGACATACCTAGTTGCTGAAAGAGAAGAGCCACACTGGTGCCTGTTACAGGAAGGCTATCATGTAGAGGGGTCTGTATCAGCTGTCGGTCTCCAGCTCCCAAAGAAAACAATTTCTGCAGATAGAATTTTTTTCAAATTTAATTTCTGTAGAATGAACAAGCTGTCATCATATAGATACGTAATTCATACTTCAGAAATCATTTATTTTGTATACAGAAATTTAAAGTTAAGTAGAGATTTGAAAGATAATTTGGGGACAGTGATATGTCTCCTTGAATGTACAGCATGATGGTGTCTCCCTTGCATTTACACAACAATTATGGCTCTAAAGGCAGTTGAGCACATTTCTATTAATACAATAAAAAACCTCCCAGAGGGAAAAAAAAAAAGGTTTAAAATCCATTTAAAAAAAAAAAATGTACAGTATTACTAACTGAATTTCTTTGCTATCTACTGTCTTTGCTGTCCACATGAGTGTATTAAGTGTGAATATACTTGTGACATCTGGGTTTTGAAGAGGACACTGCTGCTATTCCTGTGCTCCTGCAGCACACTTTAAAGTAGAATTTTAACCTCAGTTACCTTTCCAGCACAAGAACTCACCTCCCTCAAGGGAGGCAGGAAATGGGAGTGAAAGGAGTGCCCCTGAGTATCACATCCCAAACAGCACTGCATTGCAAAATACCCTTGCTTTCCTGTGAGTAAATCCACATGGCATTCAAGCAGTGAGTGATTCCAAGCAGTCACCTCTGACCAGACTCCCATGGGCTGGGGGGCATTTCTGTATGGTAAATCTTCACTCTGTATGGCAGCACAGGTGGGGAATGTAGGAAGGCAGCAAGCTCTGGCTGCTGCACAGCAGGTTTTTAAAACCAAAAATCTCCCCAGTAAACCCAAACAAGACCCTGAGCTGTAGCAGAGATGCTCTGCCCCAGCACTTCAGATGCAGGTCAGTAACCCATTTCACAGCTGACTGTTTCTGGAAATAAATGATTCAAGAGTGTTCCCACTCCAAGACATCTAAATCACCATAATTTGCCTTCAGCCCTGGAAGCATAAGGCTTAAGAAAGAAATTTCTGATTGAAATGACAGTCTGACAGTAGCAAACTTAAGCTGGAAATGAGTGAGCATTTTATTTGAAGAGAGAAAGCAGAACGAAGAACAACTAGGGGAGGATGACTTTTCCTTCCTCTTCTAGCAGAGCAAGCAGCCACTGGGAAAAGCTGCATTTACAGACAGGCAGAAAAAAGAGAGAATAGAAGCAGAGACAGAAGTTAAGTGGATCACCAAAACCAAAAATACATATTTTTGGCTCAAATGCCACTGGAAAAAGGGTTTTTGATGAGGAGATAAAATCTGATTACTCCCCTTCAAAACCAAAATCCTAGGACAGAAAAAACAGAGATATGGTGGCCTGGAGAGCAGTAAGGTACAGCTCAACTAAGCTGACACTTCCTGCACTAAGAGAAGATCCAAAGCAGCCAGGGCTATGGGAAAACCAGAACAGAATTAGGAAGTTGTAGGATTTAGGAAGAATTAGGATTTCAAGAGGGTTGAAAATCCATAGGTTGGATGGGAAGCTGTGTATGGAACTGACTTCAAAGTGTTGCCATTTGCACACGTAGTTCTGGTCTAGTGTGCTTATGGTCCTTATTATGTGTGCCTCACAATAAGAAACATCATTTCCCATCAGTGTCACAGCAGACAGCAAAAAGAAAACACAGAAAACTCAACTGACTTATCAAAACCTCACAAACATATAGGAATAATTTATAAAAAGTAAATCAAGAAACAAACCTGACTTTCTGCTCAAAGAAAGCACAACTGAAAAGCAGAAAGAAGTCTATTCACCAGAAAACTTTATTTTCATTTTTGAATGCGTGGGCTACTTGCAGTATTTAATTTCTCTGAGGAAACTGTATTTGAGTTACTTTTTAGCATTTAAAAAACAAATTATGAAAATAGAAATTTAAATGAGTTATCAAAGAAATGACCAGTGGAATCCTCAACTCCATCAAGGAAAACATGCATAAATGAACTGATATGAAGATTATGTTAAAAAATGGCAAAGAAAAAAAGCCTTTAAAAAATTTCTGTAGCAAGCAAAAATATTCCTGAACACTTTACCATTTAAAAACTAAACTTACACAAACTGCTTAATTTGTTAATGTGCCCTGTAAAAGCCAACTCAGTGACAAAATTAACCCTTTGACCTTATCCTGGAATGGAATTTTTGCTGTCTTTAGAAGACAGGCCACAGGGAAAGCACTCACAGGCCACAGGGAAAGCAATCAGCTGAACTATGATCTTTTTTCCTTCAAAAGTATCTCAAGAATTTATTTTTTGTTTTCTTCATAAATTAAATTAACTGGAAAAATACCCTTTCCCCCCCTCCATCCCCACCACTTACCTGAGACCCTCCAGAAGCAGGGACAAGGCATGAACACAGATTTGCAATGAGTGTCTCCAGTGACACGTTCAGGCTGTCCACGTACACGGTGTAGATCAAGCCAAGGCAAGCCTAGAAAAGTTGACAAAATATATCAGACTGCAACTCAGGGAAAGAAGATGTCAAATCATTCAAAGATCTAGGTATATAATCTTTAAAAAAATAAGTTCTTAACAGTTGCTATGTAGTGAAGTACTCTCCAACCAAAGTAATTTGCCAAAGAGGCAATAATTCACTTTAAAAATTAGCGTGGCTACTTATAAGGAATGTATGTTCTTTTTAAAAGGAATTCTAGGTGTAATATTTTTGCTTTGTTTGTTATGTAGGAGGTGCTCCATTAAAAGTTACTGTTAAAAATGATAAAAATCAACACAACTTCATCTGTGCTTTGAACTCCAATGGACCTAAACCTGACTGGTTTCCAGGGCAGAACACTGATTAAGCAATGAGCTTCTGAGGCTCATTTTAAGACCAGTATCAATCACTAGTAATTCCATATGTTATTTAATTACTTTCTTTTATTATATCAATGTAAATATATTTTATATTAGTAGTATATTAATATTTCAACATATTTTATTGTGGATCCAACTTTGATTGAGAAATCACAGACACAGATTTAGAATTTTACTAATAATTTAGTCCAGACCAACATTCTAAGAAGCCTTTGGACAAAAGGAAATAACTGTTCCACAGCATCTTTTGCCTTTTAACTGCTGTAACTTTGATAAATCAGCAAATACTTTAGTCATTCTCTTCTTAGGAATAATTCCAACAGCAACTTCTCATATCACACATAGTTAAATGGTAAAACTCTGTGCTGGGGGTTGTTGTAAAATATGAATGTTAAGGAAGTGAACTAATTATAGAAAAACCCCATACAACCAACACCTCTGGTTCAGGATGTCATTTAACTATTATTCACATAGAATTAGGAAAGCATTTTGTAGAATTATTTCTACAGCCTGCCCTGTTCTTACCCACTTTGCTTTGCATTTGCTGTGGGCCAAAAAATACAAAATACTGGGCTATGAGGACTTTTAATCTCACATGGTGCAGTCATCCTTAATGTCTAAAGACAACTGCTGAATGATTTCCTCCCTTGATCTGTAAACTGAACTTTATTTGTTTCTGTGAATATGTATTAGGAGAAATTTAAGCTTTTCATTTATCTCAGATAAGTCATATTTCACCAGCTGAAAGTAATCCAAGGTCCCAAATCTCTGTCATGCATCTTAATTTGGTCTGGGAGAGGCTTGGACATTTTTCTTTATATATGGAGGAGAACTAGATTTTCACTGTTAATTTACCGTTATATAGTTAGTCAAATTTTGTCTGTTTTTTTCCTAGTAACTCCTTTCATTAGAGAGTACACTGAGCCCAGAAATATCTGTACCACTCCTTCTGTGTAGTTTTAAAACCGCTTGGAGGGTAAAAAGGCACTGCTTTAACCTATAGGGGCTATTTACTGTCACAGATGTTGAATTTTATCTAGTTCAATCTAAATCTATTTTTCTTTTAAATTCCCAAATCAATCCTGAATGAGATATTTTAAATCAAAAGTAGTGTCATTGTTACTCAGTCAAAAGATAACTCAAATTTTTCTCCTGACATATTGTAAATAGTAATTGCAAGTTCTTTACCCTGAAAATTTCTGGATAATCTAGTCTGGACACCAACACCAGGCTTTTAGGAGCAAATACTTCTGCAGGCTGAATTAAACCAGACTCCTCTTCACCTTCAATTTCTTTCGTTCCCTTGAAAACAGAAACACTTCAATTAATAAGCAGGAAGAAAACTCAAACCATAATCTTTACCAGAAGTCAACATTTCTCAGAGCTTCAGAAAAGTACTGCATTATTTGAAACTGGCAACAAAATCAAGTAACAGGAGCACACTCCAATGGTTGCCTGAACACCCCAAAGCTTCTAGCTGTAATTCAGTTTATTGAAACTCCTCAGGGAAGTCATGCACCAATGTGCCTAAAATACAGAAGACAGCAGTTTAACAGGACACTGCTTCCCATTAAATAAAATCCCTGTTGCACATTTTAGATAGTGAAGTGGATCACAGAACAGGATCCTTCCACATCAAAGTGTTAGCTGATTTTACAATCTCCAAATACAGAGATCATGCATTTCACAACAGAATGTTTGGTTGTCCTCCCCATATTAATATAATTCAGTTTCTTATATTAATATAATATTAATATATTATTACATATTATTATATATTATATTATATAATATCACATCATGTTATATACCATATATATCATGTTTTATATATTATTTTATATATTATTATATTAATATAATTAATATAATTCAGTTAGCTCCCCACTAACATTACAGCTGAAATTATCTGTAATGTCATCTCTGGCCTGACCTAGTAAATTTGGAATTTAAAGAAATTTCTTTCTTCTGAAACCAGAAAACTGGTTCAGATTTCCCAAAAAATTCCCTCACACTTAGGAACCACTAAGGTTAGAGGAAAAAAAAAAGAGAGATAACAGCACAATGCAGATAAATTTGAAGTTATTCATGATATTGTGCAATTGGCTATAATTTTCTTGCCAGAACTTATTCAATCACAAATAGTTTGTTATTATTCATAGCCAAAACTGAAGATGTCACTAAATATTTTCATTTCTAAAATTCCATAAATTCTTTGAGAAATTAAGTTTTCAGATGACAGAATGTCCTTCCTTTCCAGTTTCTGCAAGTAATTCTCTCCAACCCCGCACCACCCACCAAATTTCTTTTATTTGTTCCTCTGACCAAGCATTCTTCCAAGCAAAAATCACTACATTATCTTAATTAGGAACACGAGAAAAATTACATCCATTTTCATATGACAACATGAAATATCTGCCTTCTATTTCTGTCCCATTACTACTCATCATTTCAGTTTCTTAAAAAAAAATCCAACATTTCTCTTAAATGGGAGAAATCTGATAAAAATGCTCTTAAATGCCAGGAATGCTGCAAATTCATGAGCTTTATTTCACAACCTCAATTCAGAATGTACAGTTTCTTTAGGCAAATGCTAACCCAAAATTCAACATTTAAGTTATAATTATGTAAAAAGTGAGTACTTTGGTTTTGATCAGAATAGCTTGGTAACACTTTCACACCAAAATAAAACCAGTTGGTTCAACAATACATGGACACACATGGGCAAACACTTGGCTTTGTACATTAAATTCTACCTAAATGTCAAGCAATGCATTCACTTTGCCTGTGCTTAGTCAAGTTTGCATTTTATTTCCAAGATAAAATTGTGATTCACAATTCATGGAGAAACACAGTAACTCAACAGTCACACATCCAGCACAGGTTCATTAATTCCCATCATTTTAATGCTGACAGGGAGAGCTTTTACAGGAATTACAGTCCCCTCCCTCTACCCACCCCGCCCCCCAAATCCCCAAGTTTTTTAATTATCAGAAGTTTGCTGTATCAACCATTCTAAAGAGCAAGTATGAGTTCTAGGTATAAAGACAACAGTTTCTGGATATCTGACGAATTGTGGACTCTGACATTAGGAAAAATGAAATTAAAACACATTCCACATTCCTAAAGGCAAGGGAACATGGAAGCTCCTCCATATTCACATGGTATTAAAATAATGAAACCTCAGGGTGCACAGACAAGGAGGAGCTTTCCACATAAGACCTTTCTCATAAAATCCACACAACTTCTGATCAAGTCTTGAATTAATTCATAATTAGATTTAAAGCTTTCAGGGCACGACAGCAGCACAATACTGACTGATGAAGCATTTATACTCTTAAACCACGCTCTCCTGCTTCATAAAAGATTTACAGAAAAATGCAATGTGACTGCTGTGTTTCTTCCCCAGCTCAACATTCTGACAGCCACACAGGCACATTATTAGGAGTCACTAGACTAACTAGATAATCATTTCAAACATATGACTTTTAACCTACTTTTCAAGCAAAGTATTAACAGCATAAGCATTCTGTACCAAAAGTAATTACAAAGCAGTAAAGCCACAAATGTGATTCTATTTACACTTCTGGTCAGACACACACACATTTCATCTTTTTTTACCTCTTTTCCTATCTAAGGAAAAAAATATTCTCTAAAAAACAATAAAATTAAAGAGCTTGTTATGTTGGGAGCTTTTTACAATAATTTTTTATTTTATATATGCAGCATTTAGTTTATAACTTAACAAAGAATAAATGGATGGTATGGAAAACTTTGCTAAAGACACATAGATGGAAATATGAATTTAAATTACAGAAGCACAGAGCCACAGAATCATTTAGGTTGGAAAAGACCTCTGAGATCACTGAGTTCAGCCTGTGACTGAACACCACCCTGCCAATGAGAACAAAGCACTGAGTGCCATGTCCAGTTTCCTCTTGAGCACCTCCAGGGATGGTGACACCAGCACCTCCCTGGACAGCCCATTCCAGCATCTGATCACCCTTTCTGTGAAGAAATTCCTCCTGATGTCCAACCTGAGCCTCCCCTTGAGGCTGTGTCCTCTCATCCTGTCGCTCACTGCCTGAGAGAAGAGACTGATCCTCACCTGGCTACAACCACCTTTCATGTACTTGTAGGGAGTGGTGAAGTCCCACCAGAGTTTCCTTTTCTCCAGGCTGAACACTCCCAGCTCCCTCAGCAGCTCCTCATCTTGTGCTCCAGACCCTTCCCCAGCTCTGCTGCCCTTCCCTGAATTTGCCTTGGTTAATTAATATTAAAAGAGATTCCTCCTTTTTTTTTTTTCTATTTTTTTTTTTTCTATTTCTCTCTTTTTATTTCTTTGAAATAAGAAAACTTTGAAAACAACTGAATTTAGAAAAACGTAACACTAAAGAGCAAACTAGTGTTCCAGATCCTTAACCATACATTTAGTTTAACAGGTGATAAATCTAAAATCTAAACACATGTGCCTTGAGAAGGCAAATAAATATTTTTTCTTTTTTAACATTCAGTTAATAAAGTTCTGAAAAAGACTTTTCCATGGGCTACAGAATAGGCAACTGAGACTGATTTAACTGTATCAAAGAACTGCATGACCTGTGGTTATACATGATTTCACCATGCTTAAAATATTTGGTCTCTTGTACACTTAGACATGACCAAAGCCCATCAGGGTCCTGTTCCCTGCCTGTCACACCCAGAATCCTCTTTTCTTCTACATCCTGGCTTGGTTTCTAAAGTTATAAGGAGAATATAATTCAGAGATCTGTAAACTATGGCTGACTTACGTCCTTAGAACAGTTTTCCCAAAAAAATTACTGGATATTGCAAACCATCATGAAAACTTGCAACATCACAGTATTGAATGTTAACATTTATGTCACATGAGAGCAAAAAAAAAAGTATAGGAAAAATTAAGATAACCAATTTTAAAACTAACAACAATACTAAATCCTTGAAAAATTAAAATACAATTAAACAAACAATTATTTCTTGTATAGGTAGAACATGGTTGAGGATATGTCATAAGTTTGAACAGAAAAATCTTAACTGGTTTTACAGCAGAGGGTTTGATTTATTTACTTGCTTTCTTTTTTTTTCCCCCCTCTCTTTTTCTGCATTAATAATATTTGATAAACAAACTCAGAAAATGGTGAAACTTCTTTTGAAGGTCATAGGATGCAATTTCATTTTGCTCAATTTGGTTGCTATAGTTATAAAGTGGCCTCTTAAGAGACTGGCCAAAAAATGTGTGTGTGTGTTCAGTACACTTAAAGCACACCAATACATATATTTAAACTCAAATGTTTTCATGTATTTTAACAAATGTTCACACCCACATCTACACTGATATTATATATATATATATATATATATAAAATATTTTATATATATTATATTTTTACACATATATATATATGTATAATCTAGTTTCACAGGTTCTTACAAAAATAAGAGTACAGAACTAGAGAGTACATATATTGCAACTGTTGGCCTTCTTCTTTTATAGAAGTAGCCACTGAACATATTTGTGACCTCAAGTGATGGGGTAAATTAAAATATACAATAACCAACCAGTTGAACTAACAGCATCACTCCATAGTTTATGAACTTGTCCAATAAAAGTAGCTGAATTAATAAATGCATAAAACCAGCTTTGATCTCTGACTGATAACAACAGTTTAGAAAAATTAACTGTGATCACCACTGTTTATCATCACTCTGGTATTTATTTGTTTCCTTGTGTTCAGAAAACAATTTGTTCCTCAGGTTAGCCAAGGGATGTACATGACATTAAGCCCAAACTAGACAAATTCAGTCTTATTATTTAAACATTTTTTAATGATGAAGGTAACTGACAACTGCAGTCACCAGGCATGATGGTCCAAATCCTAGAAAAATATTTAATACCTTCTCAATCATTGTAGTTAAAATTGAATGCTTGTGGGGTTTATAAACATTAGGTAAGGTATTGCTTTGTTTAATCAGTGTCCTTCTGCTCTAAAAATCCCTCTACATCTACAAAAAAGTGTAAATCTGAGCTCAGTTTGCAGCATTTTATCAAGTAATGAGGTAAGAGTTTGAAAGCTTGGCATTAGAAGAAAAAGTATTAAATAAATGTAATTATGTTAATAAAATATTGTGTATTTCCCTCAAATAAATGGGAGTCAATTGAGATCAAAATGCTTTCTTAACAGTGAAATGTATATTAAATAAATTAAATATAATATGTATTACATAAATAACTACATCATGCATGTAACGAAGAAATAGGTACTTGTATCCATGAGTTGTTTTAA